TGCTGTCTGTTCTCTGCAGGCTCTGGGCCCCATCCTGCTGCCCACTCACCGCGGGTCCTTTTCACACGCACTTCCCGCTGTTTCCAGTCTTGGGGGTTCACTCCTCACCAAGTCCTCCAGACCCTGGCCCCCGGCTGTTAAACCTCACTGAGTACCTGTGGTTCCACCCCTGCTCTGCAGGCTCACTCTCCAGGTGCCTCATTCCAGTCCCTGTCGTGAGCTGCGGGGACCTGGTGTGGTTAGGACTGAGGATGCCGTTTGGGAGCCGTACTCCCAGCGGGAAGATGGCCAGGAGCCTCCTGCTCTGCCAGGCCCCGCTGCCCTCCCCTGGCATCTCCCCCGACATGGGCACCTGGCAACTCCGGCCGCGCCTTTGGTCCGTGTTGGACTTGGATGTATTGGAGCCACTTTATCCTGTGACGTCTTCTCCCCAGCGGTGGTGAGGTAGCCAGGCCAGATTTAGTCATGGCTGACCATGCTTTCCTTTGCCGTGCCTCACGGGCTCAGAGCCAGACACTCGCGCTCTCCCGTTGTTAGCACGTCCACTTCAGACTGAGTCAAACAGGAGCCCCAGGTGGGGTAGGAAGGCCTGGAAACGGGTTCATACACAAACGTCAAGCTTGTTCATGTATGCCACATCTGTACACTTACATGCGTGTAGTGGAGCCTGGTTCATGCCCAGGGACACAGACCCACGAGTGCTTGGTCTGGTGCGTGTGTGTGTGTGTGTGTGTGTGTGTGTGTGTGTGTGTGTGTGTGTAGAAAGTAGTGGTGGCTGAGAGGTTGGAGAGACAGGGTTCTGAGAATGGCAGAGAGAGACTGAGACAGGAGGATTGCTGCCCGACTGTCTAGCTTGGGTTGTGTAGTGAGACCCTCTGTCAAAAAGGACAAACGAGGCTCGGTGGGTAGAGCTTGCCCCACGGGGGGTTCTTCCTGAGAGGGGTTTGGGGAGCCGTGACGTGGGGCTAAGTATAGGGAGGGACCCCGTAGAGCAGGGGCTCCTCTGGACCTTAAATGACGTGGCAAAGCTTCAGAGAAGTCACCGTAACAGGCAGCCCGCAGTCTGAGCAGTGTTCTCCGTGGAACGTTCTGTGTGGACGTGGGCAGGGCTGGAGGAGTGCAGCCCACAGGCGTGGGATCTGGGTTAAAAGCCCCAGCCGCTCTTCTATGAGGACCCAGGTTCAATTCCCAGTGCCTACATGCTGGCTTGCTGTAACTCCAGTCCCTGGGGATCTGAGGCCCTCTGCTGACCTCTGCTGGAAACGAACACACATGTGGTTCACAGATATACACTCAGGGAAAACGGCCATACACATAAAACAAAAATAAATCTGATTAATTGAACCTGAGGTGTGGGCCGTGAAGTGGACCCAGGTGTGCAAATGACCCCTGGGAGTGGGCGGCCATTCCTCTTCCCAGTCTTCCTTCTCTGGTCCCCAAGCTGACGGGTAGTGAATGCAGGAAGGATGTACTCGGTGATCTGTTCAACTGTCAAACACCTGTCTGCACCCAGTCGCCGTCGCCGCCGTCAGCCACACCCAGTGGCCCTCACCCCTCTCTGCTGTGTAAGCAATGGTGTCACTAACATCTGTCACGTTCTCCTTACACCTTACACTACCGCTCAGAGGACGGCCTCACAGGCCCGCCGCCCCTGCCTGGGGCTGCCTGCCACACAGGCCGTCCCTTCAGCCTTGGGGACACTGATGGTGATGGGGGCACACGTGGGACAGTTACCCACTTGTCTTTTATTTCAACATCTTATGGAACTTAAAGATTGATTGCTGAAATGAATGGAAACACATGAACTATGAACCAAAGGCTGAGGGGCCCCCAACTGGATCAGGCCCTCTGAATAGGTGAGACAGTTGATTGGCTTGATCTGTTTGGGAGGCATCTAGGCAGTGGGACCAGGTCCTGTGCTCAGTGCATGAGTTGGCTGTTTGAAACCTGGAACTTATGCAGGGATGCTTGGCTCAGGCTGGGAGGAAGGGACTGGACCTGCCTGGACTGAGCCTACCAGGTTGATCGCAGTCCTCAGGGGAGGACTTGTCCTGGAGGAGGTGGGAATGGGGGGTGGGCTGGGGGTAAGGGGAGGGCGTGGGAGGGGGGAGAATAGGGGAACCCATGGCTGATATGTAGAACTGAATGGTATTGTAAAATAAAATATGTATGTGTGTATATGTATTGGTTGCTGAGCTGAGAAGAGAGGACCTGGACTCCTAGGCTTTCCTGGCCGTGCTCCCTCTTCTCTGGCCCAGCTGGCCTCGAACTCACAGAGGTCCACCTGGCTCTGCCTCTCAAGCACTGGGGTTAAGGGTGTGTGCCACCACCACCCAGCTGCGTGTATTATTTTTATGTGAATGTAGATTTCAGGACATCCAGGGCTACACAGAGGAACCCTGTCTTGAAAAATCAAGCAATGGCTCTGCAGTTAAGAGTATTGGCTGATGTTACAGGGGACTTGGATTCAATTCCCAGCACCCACATGGCAGCTCACAGCTGTCTGTGACTCCATTTCCAAAAGATCTGACACCCTCACACAAGCATACATACAGGCAAAACACCAATGCACATAGATAAATTATTTTAAAAAATCAAACAAATAAAAATGGAAACAGTACTATAGAGATTTTGGTTCTCTAGCACTACAGTGATTTTTGAAGTTATTATTTTTGGAAGGAATTAAAGGGAGGTCGTGAGGTCAAGGTAAACGCTAGATCACAGGGGTTCAGGAAACACTTTAAAAAATGCTTTGAGAGTTGAGGGTTGGGTGCAGGAGAATATACCTTTGATTCGGTACTTGAGAGACTGACAGAATGGGAAT